CATATATGATAACAACCATTCATGAGTTATTCAATTGTGACTGATTAACTGTCAATCAATAAACTTGTTTTTATTAGAGATCCAAAGTGGTCAGAAGAAAGAAAGAGAAAGTCGTGCAAGAGATCAATGGCTACATGACATTAAACCAGCATCACACGACGCACCATGACATCACACAAAAAGTTATTTTATGACGACTACGAAGAGATTTCAAGAGGGAGTGAAATAACCGCATACACACACACAGGCCACTGAATCATTTAAAGTTCTCCAAATCAATACTTTTATTCACACTTTACTGACTGACTACAGCTTTTCCCACAAAACCTTTTCTTTAATTCACAGAAAGAATCAAACTCAACTGCGTAATGTAATTATCTCATCAAGGAATGTGTGAACAAACCTGATGATCGGACCAAACGTTCTGTGTAATCTGTACTGGAAAATGTGCTACACACATAATTCAGTGCTTTTAAAGTACTGTGGAATAACGAGCAGCCATACAAATGATAAATAACTCAATTAATAGATCCAATTAGTGCACTGCAATGCAAGACATTGCAAAAAAGACCTCAAGGAAAGTGACTATCTTGTTTAAAACAAACACAATTTATCACGGTGCAAACTAAGCACTTTAAACATCAACTGTGACCGAAGGTCGAAACATCACATCTTCAAAAACCACCATTGAGAAACTCACAGCCAGTAAATGTACACAAAGAGGTAAATCCCTGCAAACACAGTTTCCGTTGACTCATTTAAATCCTCCAGGAGATAAAAAAGAAGAAAAAAAAAAAAAAAGAGTTTCTTACTCAAACTTCAGGAGTTTTAACTTTTTAACTACAAAACAGGACAAACCAAACATCTACAGGTACTCAGTCATTTGTGTTCAAGTGTTCATCAAAACACCATCGCTATCAAGTTATTGAACAGCAATCTGACAGCTACAAATATGTATCACATTGATATTAGTACATGTGTGATCTATCCAGCAGAACAGAAGCAGAGACTTATTCAAACTACATTTAAACTGAAACTCACAACACACTCCTGAAACACAAACCGCGATCTGAAAGACAGACATCAACGAGGCACGGCCTCCTCGCTCTTTACAAACATACGGGAGGAAAACCAGAGTCAACGGTCAACCGCGGCGAAGAAGAGCAGAAGAAAATGTCTTTTCTCGAGACATGGTGAATGTGACCAACACAGAAACGGTTATGTAACATCAAAACAGACATTTAACACCAACAACAATACAACACATATTCATGTTGTACATCAGTACCTGTTAAAAATTTATTATAAACCTATTGAGCTTGTCTGTCTGCTGTCTTATGATCAATACCATGCAGGGGTATACCAGTCTCTGGCATCTGTAAGTGCACAAATTGAATAATAAAAACAAAACACACTAAATTCAGTCAACACACTAAAGATAGTTTCCTGCATAAATCACAATAAATGCAAGTGGGTCAATCACCTATTTACTTTATTGTATTTAAAATCAGCACCTGTTTCTATGACAGAAACCAGACAATTCTCAATTTAAAACAACAAGGAGCTCTTCAGGTTAGCACAACACCATCCGCAATAAAGCTTTCTACATAAAACTGAATTGTCTGGTAAGCGTATTTTGACAGCTATAGATTAAAAAATACAACTATTGCATTAGCAGTTTTCCCCCTTTAAGTTCATTAACCCTCTATCAAACGTCACACAGGAAATCAAAAAGCATCAGAGAATGTTGTTGAAACTAATCACCAAAAAGCTTATTGAACTCTGTTAAATGATTCTTGTGGATGTATTGTATTCTTTAAGGGCTCAACTAACGACCATGGTTCATTGTCGTTTTGTCTGTCATTTTAATTTTTTTGTTATTTCAATTGTTAAGTGTAGACTTCTTCATGTAATCAATCTCTACTTATTGCAACAACATGTATATTTTACAACTATATCGGCAGACTTCATGTTTGAGTTAAAGACTTTTAACCATCTCAAGAGTTGACTTTGTTCACTTATGTTATGAAAAACATTTTCTTTAACAACTCCAGCAGCAGGCCTCTTAAACACCATTTAAACACATACACAGAAAAAAAGGTCTACAAGTTACATATTGCCAAATCCTGTAGTAAAGGCTCATTCAATATTTGTTTTTGAATGACAACAATAACCCAACCCAATAAACAGCTATACAACCAAGGCCAACAAAAAGACAATGTCTCAGAAGACCCGTGACAAACTCTATGATCCGTCTTTAGGACCGTGTGTTGTCCACATTAAGAAGCATGTGACACAAAGACAAACCACCGAACAGATGCAGAAACAAAGACGGTGATTGATTCAACACCTCAACAATTTTCTTAACTTATTATCTGTAAATCTAAACTGGCAACTTTGGCTGCTCCACCAGTAATATGGCAAATTCCTTCCTTCACATTCGGAAAATATTGAAAGGCAATGTTCTACATCCCAAATAGACTATTCATTTGCATCTGTTATAGAAAAATAACAGTATTCCCAACTCTTTGCAGTGCCAAATGACTATTGAATTCATTTTCATGCTTCAGTCTTTTCAATTGGGTTAGATTAGTGAGTATAAATAAAATGCAACGGCCTCTCTTTATCACTCCCTCTGCTACCATCCTGGCAAAACATCAAAAGCATCATCAACTGGTGTATTGGTTATCTTTATTGCCAACCAATTCATCACTATCAAATACCAAAACATAATAACAGCGGCTATCATAAGTTACCAGACTGAAGATTATTGCACCGTCAGCAAATGTTTTGTTTTAGAGATACATTTAAAACAATTAGATCATGGTTTATCTGCTTCAACCTTCAGTTATAGTCAGTACACTATAAAGCTCATTCATCAACACTGTTTAAAGTATGAGATTATTGCAACTACGTGACGGTCATCGGCTCAGAAGAACACAACACAACACAGAATAGTGTACCTTGGATGGATTTAGCTGTTTTGGGCCCCTGTGCACACATCACGACAGATAGCAGCTTTAAAATATTTTGCACTTTAGTGGTGCAAAATAATGTATAGCTATTAAACTGCCAAAACACAACTGACACCTGGGAACCTGGGACTTTTGGGGCTTGTTTAGGGACCGTGACTGACTCCGACATCCACAGGACAATAAAATACACTTGCCACTTTTATAATATACTTCTTTTAACGTACTGTTATTTGCTTGTTTAATATATTATATCGTAAATTGTAATATTTTTAAATTATGTCTATTATGTTTATTGTTCTGCACCAGTCACCTAGTCAGATTCCTTTTTATAAATAATAATAAACGGTTCTGATTCTGGTGCTTTTCCGGGTTGATACTCCAGTGTTGAGGGCAGCTAAGGACCCACAATCAAACCTCAGAACCGGTCACTCAGTAACGTCAGTTAGTTACTCACATTTCCTCAAACACTTAATCCAGTGTCGCACAATCACACTGTGGTACTTCTTGTTGTCGATGCACCACGTCGAGAGTCCTTGGATCGAGTCCATCGTGTTGGAGACACCTCTGAACTTCTTCTCTAAAGTTGACTCCAGAGAGCCGCCAGAAGCGGCTCGTGCTCCCGTTGCCATGTCCGGAGGAGCTCGCGCTGCGCTCTACCATTCCAAACACCCACCGAGGTTAGCTGGGGGCTAGCACTTAGCTTAGCATGCTAGCCGAACGTAGCACGAACATCATCGCCTTCAGCAGCCTATCAGCTGCACATTGAAAGCTTACACAATCTTAAATAGTCGGTATGATGTGTTACCAATCACTTTGTGGGTCTAGAGTTTATCCCCCGTGAGGTTCGGTACCATAAATAGTCGTTTATGTAACCTAACATATGCTAAAACTTAGCGTCTAACGACATCCTGGAGGTCTGTTTACTCGTGCTAGTGAAGAGATGAAGGACACTTCCGCAAACACGATATGATTATGGCGCCACCCAGTGCCGCGGAAGTAGATATTTACTAGCGCCACCTGCTGCGTGTTAATGGTAGCTTCTGATTTATTTTAGTTTTTTTTTACTTTTAGTTATTTTTATGTACAATAAAATGTTTTATTCTACACTTTAATTGTTAAAAACAGAACAAATGTAATTAATCTGACCGACTTTAGACAAGCTTGGACTGTCAGTGTTTTTTTCATTCCAGAAATCAACAAACATACTGTATTTATATGAACCACGCCATTCAATTAACATATGAAAATATGTGTTTATCAATCACTCACCAATAGTGACAATTTCATTACAAGAAACAAAGAAAGAGCATCAAACAAATGAAAGTAAAAACAAGAAAAATGAAAAATGTACAACTGGGGAATAATATTGTGACTCTACGTTCAGTTTCTCTCCTATTGCACAAATCAAAGTTGTGTAACATAGAACAGCAAAACCTGAGCTGTGGGATTACACCTTTTATATTCCAAAACAACACTACACTATTGTTCTCCACCTACAGTTTCCATTTTAAATAACATGACTCTACATCTACACAGTAGCAGTAGTATGTGGTGAAATGATGAATGACGGTAAAGACTTTACCATCATTAAATAATTATTATACTGTTTGAATGACGAATGATGGAGTTTTCCGGCAAGTTTATGGTTACCTTGAGTTATAACAAAAAGTAAGGCTGACTGGTGACAAACCACCAGAGATGAAACACCATTCAACATGAATGATATCGGATTTAAAATGTGGAGGTGCAAGCAGCCAAATGCTATGATGCTGTGATGTGCTCGAGAATGAAAATAGTTTATTTTATCACATCCCCATGATATTCTGTAGCATATAAATAATAGTAAAGCGCGTTGAGTGATACAAATTTGAAGCAGCAAGTCAGTGATCTTCCCCTCATAATGTTCTTGCATTTGGGACATTTTGTGGGAAATTGTAATAACAATAAGCTAAATTGAATCTAAATAAGTGTCAAGGACCTGTGAAGCATCCACCTGTCGATGGAATCAACATTTTCAAGGACTGATCCTCTTCAACATCTTTAATAAGTATTGTCACAACTCTTTGATGTTAACAAATTATCATCCAAAATGCAGGTAAATCCATTCCAATGTACAAGGGATCAAATATATTATGCCTGTTCTAAAATATAAAAATATAGTCACTTTAATCTCACTTGTGTAATAAAATGTTAAGTTTTCACTCACTGACTGATGGAGTAACTGACTGATGTTAACTTCTAGCCACGGAGCTCATATTTCCTCAACTGCCTCAATCATTAGTGATCAGTCAGATCGCGGTATTTCCTGTGCAACATGTTGCTCTTTAACTAAAAGTGCAACTACATTTATTCTTATTTACATAGAAACTAAAATGTTGTGTGTGTTTGTTTGTTACGTGGTAATAAATAAAGAAGTGGTGACAGTGAAGTAAGTTGCATATGATATGATAATGCAGTTTGGTTTGGCACATTTTGTAATGTAACATCAAGTAAACGCCTTTGCTCCACCATATGTTCCAATCAGTCAGCTGGCAACATACAGTTGTAACTTTCCCTAAATTACATTTTAATCATCTGTGTAGTAGGGCTAAAAAAAATCAAACTGGTTCCTCTTATATAAGAAGCTGAAACTAGCAAATATGGGGCATTTCTGCTGGAAAATAATATTTTATGGACAACTGACTAATGTTTTCAGCTTAAACTGCGTTTCCTCACTTTTATAAAAGCGATATAAGTTTTTCACAAGTGTTGTGAAATCCTATACTATTACTGTCAAAGTGCGTTCCAATGATGTGAAAAAATACAAAACAGAGCACGGACTGCTTTAAAACATTACACATGAAAAGTATTTCCAACATGGTTTTAACTTTGTAAAAGTCAATGTATACAAAAAGTGATACTCTTACAGACAGACAATACACAGTAGAGCAATAACTCTGGTGTAATATAAAAAAAAAAAAAAAAAACACACACCGGAGAGTTAAGGGTTAACAAGTGTGCCACTGCATTACTCCTCCTCCTCCTCATCTTGTTTTACATGCCTCGCAGCCATCACAGACTGGCTCTGCGTCAAACTTTATCCTTATGTAATCAAGTCCGCCCTCTTCACTCATGCAGTGGCACCTCCATGTGGTAGCGAGGGCATCTAAGGACAGCTAAGTCGAGTAAGTTGTAGTCATGATGTCACTGGAGGACACGGAGCTGTCCTGTGTGGCCGGGCTTTCACAAGTGCTGGGCAGAGCAATATCAGACTGACTCCGATTCTCATTTTCTCTCGTGCTACTTGAATATAAGGGCCTGCTTAAAGTGACAGTGCTGTATGTAAAGTCGTGCTCAGCTTCAACTGTTCCTTCCTCTGGAGCTCTCTGCTTCTTAGGCGATCCTGGTAGACATGTGGAAGCTGTGGGAAGTGGAGTCGCAGCCTGGCAGCTCCCATGTTTTCCGTGTTGACAGCGCTTCTGCTTTGTTAGGACTTTGCTGGGTTCCTCAGGGTCAGACCAGCTCAGCTTTCTCTTCTGTAGCGGAAAAAAAACAACCATAAGAAACCAAGGCCTTAAAAGAAAACTAGTTTATTACAACTTGAGTTGAGCCGAGTTGAGGTACGAAATCTAACCCAAGATTTACACATAAACCATTCTCTTTTAAACTTTTAGTATTGGTATTTTAACATCTCAGAGTCACGAGGCCCACGGTGTTATTAATGCACGCTTGTAAAGGCACTGTCATATGTCAACAAAGGGAACATCCATTATGAAGCTCACCTTAACTGGCATGTGGAGCTGGTTTTGGCACCAGTGTGGTCGGAGACTGGGAGTGCTGGTCTGGCTTGGTTTAACTGTGGACTGAAATGCCACCCGAGGGAACCATATTTTGAGCATCATCTCTATCTGCAGCAGGTTTTGGAGGTATCTCTCCCTGCAGGAAAAAAAAAAAGAAAGAAAAGGAGTTAGGCGACAAGCATGAACGACAAAGCTGGGTGTGGATAACCATTACAATATCACCATTTTCTCTACTGTCACAATATTAGGCTCGCTACTTGTGTTCGTCTTACCCCATTTCAGGCCTCTGGAGAATTCCAAGAATCCTCTGCAATCTGTCTATGGCAACACTCTGCTGGAAACTGGATAGACCTGCAGCAATTAAAAGATACCACCCAAATGTCAAGGCAAATAGACACTTCATTGACAGCAAGCACTAAAACTTAAACGACGATAAATCATGTTTGATATCGCTCAACCACATACCTTTGTCAAATCGCCCGGTCTTCAACCCGTGTAGAAGTTCCACCAAAGGACAGATGAACCTCCGCAAATCTGCGCACTGAGAAAATAAGGAGAAAAATCTGGTTTTAGTACGACTGATCTGCTATTTGGTTGACAAAAATACTATAAGGGAAGACCTGGGATATCGGTTGAAGACACTCACTTTCTGTGCGAATGCCAGGTCGCCGGGTGTCGCTGAAGAGGAGCCTAACGTGGCAGCTCCGTGAGAGGAGGCTGGGTCTGGACGCTTGGTATCGTCAGAGCAGCGATCAGGCTGCTCGCTCTTGGACCTTGAGTGCAGCTGGTCCGAACGAGCCGGGAAACCCAGATACTTTCCGGAGAGTGTGATCCCGCTGTCACCGGGGAGACTCTTTCTCATTCCACCGTCGCCTTCTCCCTCTGAGAAGACGTCTGCTTCATCCTCAGTCGGCTCGCTCTCACTCAAGAGATGGCTAGAGGTGGAGCTTAGCGAGTCATAAGACGGCCATTTGGAAGAACTGCCCAATGAATTCATCTGTGGAGACAGAGACATGATCATGTCAAAACAGAAGGACACTGGGCAAAATCCAACAGCCAGGGTTGAGTATCATATTATCAGTGGACTAAAAGACATCTGTTGATGTCTTCCAATTGCAATAAGCATTTATATAAAAGTCCCCTACTCTTAAGTTAAACATAGTGTATATAAACCGTTTTCATATCGCGATCTCGATATCCAGCAAAAGCAACCAAACACGATCCTTTTGTCAATGTCATGCAGTGTAATTAAAAAAAGAGCTGCGAGTGATGTCTTCACCAAGTCTCAGCAAGCACAATGTAATGGAGATGGTGACAAGGTAACCGATCTATTCTTCTTAGACTATCACAGAGGAAGACCTGCTCCTCTATGACGAAGCAAACAAACTCATGCAGTGACACGACTCTCTGATAGTCACCCTATAAAGAGACACGCGAGTGTGTGTGTGTGTGTGTGCACGTGTATGTGTGTGCGCGCGCTCAGTGCTCGTGTCTAAAGTCGGTCATGTGAGGACAGATGTTTTGGTCCACTGTTTACTGCAAGTACGCCACCTCATCTAACCTCACCAGCAATAACACACCTTTAGCCTACTGCGTGGTTTGGCTTTGGAAGTCGTGTTTTCATGACGCGTTCAGCTCCTACTGACGTTACATATTAATAAATCTATTACTATAAAACTCTTAACTTGCTATCCACTGGACGTTATGATATATTTGCAATAAAAACAAAGACAATATGAATACAAACAGAATATACGACGGTTTGATCCTGAACTAGTCCGAAATAGTAAATACGTAATGTTAGAAGTTAAGAACTAAAGTTAACTAGCTTACTATCATATCATATTACTCATATTTAATGTGCAACAATGTATAAGTGGAGTCTGACAAACAGCAGACTTTCACTAAAAACAGAAAAGAGTCTGAGGAGAGTTATTACCTTCTAGTCGGAGCAGAACTCGATTCACAAAAACGGTCAAAACAAAACGGTAACGTTTAGAGGAAGCAAACGAATTCAAGTCGTAAAGAAGTAACGTTAAAACGCTAACAGTAGAAGTGTACACACGCGCTGTACCGCCCTGGTGCTGCTATCTCCGCCCGTGTTTCGTTTACTTTGTCACATTTTCAAGCCCGCTCGACCAGTACCCACGGAGCCCAACGGACGCTACACGTGCTGGTGAGATGCGGCGCCGCGATTGGCTGAAGAGAGGTTCGATCGTCTCCTCATTGGCTCAGAGACTTGGCCAATCGGCAGCATTCGCAGCGCCAGTTGGCTGCTAAATGCGTAGATCCCGCCGCACGCCTATCTGCAGCACGTGTTGGTGGTGTGGCTGGAGAACGAGAGGAGAAGCACGCGGCAAATAGCATGTGCATACAATGTTGGTATGCAAATTGGGTCACATTTGGCCTTCGTTCACAGATACAACACTTTTAGGGGGAAATAACAAAGCAACTACAGGTGTTGGCTGGTGGAATTTGTTTCTTAGACCCCACTGCTTTTTCATTGTGTCATTTTTGTTATGAATGATTGAATGATTGTGTTTACCTTTATAAAAAGTGTTCCTCTATTTCTCTAAAAAGACACCTTCTGTAGGAAGACACAGGCTGTGTGTATAGGCGGTGTTGTATGAGACAAAGTACAAATATAAAACAATATGACAGATTATCTGTCCAATTTCACAATACTTAAAGACAGGAGGTGGTCATCTATGACAAGCCCTTTTAACACATGACCATCCTTCTACTCCCCCTTCTTCCAAATGGCGACACAAAACCCAGCAGAAGAAGGGGCATACAAAAGCATTTTTAAGGAATAGTGTACACCTTCAGCCAAATGAGCCAAATGGGATTTTTTTGTTTGTGCAGGAGAAGCTCCATGTTGTTCTGGAAGCGAACGCACATAAGGCAGACAAGATTATGAGACGTGGCATCATAGGCCTATTAGAGACAGAAAGCTGGCCACACAGTCTTACACTGGTAATGAGATTGGTATATGCTGAGGAGGGAATCACTTATTTCAGTTAATGAAATAAATAGGGTGTCGTTACCTGCACTAAGCACTTGATTAGACGACAACCAAAAGGCACGTGCTTATGATAATAATGATGATAATAATAATTTGTATGGTTAATTTAGGGTACACATGACAGCTGAGGGTACAAAAATAAAAAAGGGAGTGTCAAAGCCCGTGAACAAGTAGATGTGGACACAATTGTGGGTGTGGAGTAGTCAGTCTCAGTTTGGCTCTCAGCCAGGCGGAAAAACACACACGTGGAGACTGGTATGAAACAGCTCAACAGAAGAGTAACGAATTGCCCTTAGTGCAACATTACTTGATTAGAGTTGGACAAAGCTCGCAAGAGCCCATTTTTTCAAGCAGTCTTATTGGGTCCTCATGCATATAAGCAGATCAGAGATTTGTTTTTGTCAATCCTGTCGGAGGCAAAAAGCATTTGCCAATAGTATTAGAAGGTGATAAAGAAACCATACAATCAGTTGTGGCCAATACCATCAGCTCTCTATGCAGAAGTATGTCTGTAAAGGCTGGTTCTACCATACAATTACAAAGATGCAGGTCAACCTGAACGTGTCTTCTGCTGTTAGGACGGCTTTGGCAGTGGGAATAATACAAAAAAGTTCAAGCAACTTTGGTTGATTGTATTACTACAGATTATATATATAAGAAAAAACAGATCTTGCCGCATATATCCACATACCTTTTTTTGTTTTTTTTTACATAGGTGGAAATATTTTAGGAAATTACAAATTATGCTCTTCACACAGTTAGAGAACAAGTGAGGCACATTTCATGTCATGGTTATTGCTGTTGGTATCATCCAAATTAGCAGCAGCCAATATGTTATACTGTTGCATGAGTTAAAGCTGTGGGGTATGTAAAGGGGCTTTGAACAGCAAACGGCTGAATATATAAAGTTGTGACGCAGCAATGAAGTCTTGCCTGTGATAAGGAAGTGCCAGTGTTTTTGAGTCACGCTGGGAAGGGGCCAACAAAAACCTTTGCATATTTCACAATCACATCACAATCACAGCACACTGACTGCACAACACATGTTTTGCAGACTTAAAACCTTTGTGTGCTGACAAAATACTCATTGGATTTAAAATGACACTAACATTAACATGTGACCATACAATTCTCCCATATTTTTTTTTTGATATTTGTCTCTGCCAGATCAATACAGCGGAGCAGAACGAAAAATTCATCTGTGGAGCTCACATCGTGGAAGAATTACATTCAAAGAATCAACAGCAACATCCCTGTTAAGGCCTTCACACGCATGGCGAATGAACGACACGCAAATGTGAAATACTACACCACTAAATGGTGTGAATAGATCCATGCAGGCAGAGGACCTACTACCTGGTTCCTATTGACCCAGAGCAGCATCTGGCAGCCTGTCTGATAGCCTAAACGACTGTCTTATTGAGTTTCCCTTTTGTGAAATGCTGAGTGAATGAGTTCCCTCTGGTGAACAGTTGCTCAGTGTACATATCTAAGGCTTTTATTATGAAAGGTAAGAACGGAAGGAGTGGAACTGGTGTGCGCTGCCTTTGACAAGTTGAAGTAATTAAGTCTGCTATCTTGGTTTCGGACTAGTCTACACATTGTCCCTCCCCTTCCAGTGTCCCTCATGGGATCTTATTTCGGAAAAAAATATGTACAATGGTCAACGGCAAAAGACAAACAAGTTATTGATCCCCGCACCATGAATTACAGATATGTTTGTCAATTTAAAAGATAGTTTGGCAAGTCAAGAATGTGGCAGTTTGTCGCAGTAACATTTAGTAACTAGCTAGGCAACTTAAGCTATGTTCATGTTTTCATGGGGAATATTTCTCCATCAAAAAGTAGTTCCTATGAAAACTGCTCACACTGGATTAGCCACATTAACAACGATGCATATTTTGGAAAGACATTATTGATTTGAACTACCAGAGATTTTAAAAAGTAGATGAACTGACCCTTTAAAAAAGGAATCAGAGACAGCAGCCAGCTTCTTTCCGTGTAACAATATAGGTCATCTATCAGACTACTCCCTCCGTCCTTACAATGCTACCCATTGACTGAAGCCACAGGACAGGATATCAACATGACCTGCTAACCTCTGAGACAAGTGAGCCTGGTGCAAATGTTTAACTTTCCCTGTGAGGGGAGCGAGAGCAAGTGCAAACACTGAAGTCCACCCGTGGTGAAAGCGCGGGGTCTGACAGATGTGCATGACCGATGTGTCTCGCGTTTGGGAGTTTGCGGGAAGTGGCCGACATCGTCAGTGGACATTTACACCACACTGTGCAGTCGTGACATTGAATTAATTAGGAGCGAGATGATGCTGAGCCGAGACCCCATTACCACAAAAACATCCCCCGCATTGTTTTGAGCTTCTGCCAGCAAATGAGGTCATGTCCCACTACTTCCCAAGCGTCCATGCAAAATATCACTGTATGTCGTATTCTACACTAGATAGCAGTTTGTGTGTTTGAACAGAAGTTTAACTGTTATAAATGAATATTTACTTATTTTTTCGGATCCAAGTGATGACCGAACAATTTGACATTTAACTATTTTCTTTGGCTGCAATAAACAAGTGGATGTTGACCAACATTCTTGAATTAAATGGTGAGAAAACAGACATTTTTATTAGTTGGTCCACAAACAAAAGAGAGCTAGTTCTGGCCAAACGTGGACGTTTTAGCGCCACAGGTTAAATCAGAAGTCACAAGCCTGGGCATCAACCTTGACCCAGACTTAAATATCAAATTCCACATAAGAAGGTGACTGAAGCAGCTTTCTTTCATTTCAGAAATATGGTTTGGTACCGGCCTACAATTATTTGTTGCTTGATAATTATTTACAGCCTTCTAAATCCTCTACTGCTGTAACTCTTCCTTTGTTTTAATCTTTTACATGTTTTATTGTTCTAATGCTTGGTTTGTTGTAACGCACTTTGAACTACTCCCCAGAAAGAAATTTGACATATAAATAAAATGTATTATTAAATATGTTCACAAACTTGAGATTTTAGAATATGCAACACATGTATTAGCTTTTTCCTCAACAAGTTTGTGTGGGAAGATTCAAAGTACAAAATATCATCAACATAGTATTCATTAGCCGGCACATTACAACCAAGAATGAGTACGAACACTTTTCATGCCAGATTTTGTGGATGAAGTGGAAAAAATGTCCAGCGTTGACTTAACAATGAATGCACATCTACAAATGTCTTTTTCCTTTTTTTAACAATGAAAGCCACTTTTCTCGAAGCATTTCCAAAGTCCATTCAGATGTGACAGGGACATGTGTTGGGTCTTTGAATGCCTCTTATGTTTTGCTGGCCGTGTCTCAACAAGTCCATTGATAAGATCCGGTCTCATCGCACCACTAGCAGCCGAGCCAGGGATCCTCTCGGTTGGTCCTGGAGATGAAGGCAATCTTCCTGGCCATTTCCGTGTGGTAGATCCGCCTACAGTTCTCGAAGTTCTTCCGCTGTCGCTCTCGGCAGGGCTTCTCGAAGTAGCGCTTGTTTTTCACTGTTTGAATAACTCCATCCTGAGTCAGGAACCTGGAGTTTGTAGAGAAAACGTGTGAATAGCAATTGACACTGGCAGACCACTTGCAACTGAAAATAAAAAAAGTATCAGTGGTGCAGAAGTACACATTTTTACCATTAAGTAAAAAGGAGACAGTTGAGCCTATTAGAAAACAACAAACAACCAATCATGCAATTATGTTATTGTACACATGAAAATAAGGTTTTAGACCCCTGAAGTATGTTTAAGTCTGTTCTCTAATTCAATTAGAGACTGTTGTTATTTCCTCTGTTTGGCCCATTCCGTGATGAGTGTTCCTCTTGATTTCTGTATCAATACTTTTTGAATATGCAACTTTGGCGCAAGTGATCCGTCTTCTTTGAAGCTGTGTTAGTGATAAAACACACCTAACTGCCCAAAACTGCCGGCCGGACTTAATAGTAGTAGTAGTAGTACATACGATGATATGTTGCTGCAGACTTTAAACCCTTTAATGTGGTGCTGACGTTATTTTATCTTCCTCTGTATCCGTCTAACGAAATCCCTAGAACCACCAAAATATCAAAATGAGTGTTTATCTACTAGCTAGCTCTTTAAGCTGTGACACCACTGCGCAGACGCAGCTCTGTGACATTGAGCGGAAGGCTAACGTTAACTTAGCCAACATTAGCTTGTCCTCTCCGGAATAACAGCAACTCTTGTAATATATGTTCTATTAAACACAACAGTTTCACCTGTTTAAAGTCTTATACGCCGCATCAACGTTGCCGTCCTGGACCATAACTGTCCGCGCGATGAAGCGAAGGTGCCTCGACATGATGTGACCGGTGCTTGCTTAACTGCCGACCGGCTGGAAACATGTAACAACAGGAAGTTCCGGATTCAAGCTCAAGCCCATAAATCAACGCTAGGTGACGCTTTTCTTTATTCTTGTGAATGCCTTTTGTCGTTTGTATTCTGGAGAATTGTTTAGTTGAGTGACACAAATATCAGGTATTGTACACAGCATTTTAAACAGAAATAACATACATCAGTATACATCAGTAAATCACATTAAATTAACCTAATTAATTAACATTAGCTTACTGAATCTAGATAAAAGCAGTTATACAAATAATGTCTAAACTATATGTTTTTCTTTCTCATTGTCTAGGCTTTAATTGAATTAGCTAGATTTAACCTTCATTATAACTTATCTCTTTGTTTAATTCCAGAAAAGAGGATGAACAATGATAAATTATGTGGATGGTTGCTGTATTTTGGAAGAACAGTACAATGCTGTTGGAAACAAACACACATAAACACACACACACACACACACGCACACAGTTGCACAACCTATGGAACAAACAAAGAAAACATACTGATGTTGAACTCTGTGCCATATGGATAAACTGAACTCACCCGATGATAAACTATAATTATACCTGCAAACTTGTCACCCTAGAATGATAATTAGTCCATCGGCTGTCGTTCAAAACCTGGAATGTGCCTTCCCTGGGGTGTGTCTGGACTATGGCCACCCACAGATACTTGTAATAAGCTCCTGAGTAATATTTGCAGTAACTATCATAATACACAGCGATAATTAAGTTGTTGCATGTATTTTCTAACTAAGGGTACTTTTTCACATTTTTCTTTCACTTTCTGTAGAGCCAAACGAAAGTGAAGGGAACACATATGTGTGTATGTTATGTGACCATTTTATTGCTTATTTAATTGTTTTAATACACTTAACACGTGTTGTTTGTTTCATGCCACCCAAAATTATTGAGATATATCGGCTACTTCATTGCAGTACGACTACGTCAATCTTTGGCATGTTTCATGTAATACAGTATTGGCCATAAATTATAAACAGGTACCCGTAGCCTTTAGATGCAGTTTGTTTTCCCTATTTTTCCAGTGTTTAATAGACAACTATTAGTTGTGACTATTGTTTGGGAGTAATACATGTAGAAACATGTTTAACAAACATGTCACACTACACTATGCTATATAGGGTCTACTAAATTGCCAGTCTCTCATTCAAAAATAGTTTGTGTTAATGTGTACATGAACAGTTGCATTCAGTTTGTTCAGCACAATGTTAGGACAATGCAATCTACTATTCCTGAGACACCATGTCACCCACGACTTGGTCATCATCAACATCATCATTGTCATCCACACCTGAGTCTGTCCTCTGTGCTGCAGGATCTTCCTCACTGCGTTGCTTGGCACATGTTTTCAGTTTGTGCAGTTCAGGTCATTGTTGAGACATGTGCACTCTGGTGGTTTGCACAATCTCAGTCATTTGTGGTGCTGGGGAGCCGTGCATTCACTGGATTTCCAGCTGCCCCTAATGGCCTGTGGTCCTTAGGGCCTGATACAGATGGCTGGGATTTGAAGAGACCGTCTCCAGATTGCAGTTGATAGTTGGCACGAACGGAATGCATGAATGGTTTTTCACAATGAATGTTTGTGTGGTTTTTGGTAATTGTGCAAAGGTGCTAATTTGGGAAAAATAACAAAATATCAAATAAAAATGAAAAGCTGTTCCCGTGGATATTAATTTACTTATAATTTACTTTCACTTATTTTCAACATGAGGGAAAGTGGGCTGCTACTTGAAGAGGGAACAAACTTTGACTTAACACCTGAATGTTGAATAGCGTTGCTGACTGTTTAAAGCCACCTTCCTGATATGTAATGTTAGCTAAGCTATCTTTATGGCGTTTTTACAAATCAGTTACCAGTGGTGGGAAGTAACTATTGCCCACATTTACTTGGCTACTCAAGTAGGCTACTTTAAGTCTACTTAAGCACAAGTTTGAGCTAGGCCCACTTGTACTTTACTACACCTGAGAGAAAAGTGCACTACATTTATCTAACAGCTTTAGTTACTTAGCAGATTCATATCACCTATGCAAAATATAATTTAAAAAATAGCTCATGATGTTATTATACCAATAAGGCTTTATTGTACCCCAGGGCAAAATGCACAAGCTACCCAGCAGTATGTTAAGTAATATATAAATAATTAAAAATTGGCTCTACATTTACCTGCTGCAACATGAAAGCGATGAACCCAGTAATACATCAATAATTGAAGTTCAATGATTTAATACATATATATTATGCAGCAAAAACACGTGTTATTCATCGAAACATGTTTTTTTTCTCTTTATCTCTCTTTATTAAAATCTCAAAAATGCTCCAATAGGCTTCATTATTAAAATCACTTATATTTTCTTCCGGGGGGGGGGAGAATGCCCCCAGAACACTCCACCTGATTTTAGTTGTGTACCCTGTCACCTTTTGCACTTCTTGAAAGTTTGCAGGTCTGATCTTTTTCAATATTTAATAAAGGCCTGCGTAAAAGTATATTTTATGACAGAAAACTGATTCTCCTAAATGAATGAATGTATAAAATAATAATAATAACTGAATAAATAGAAAGAGAAACACACATCTGCACAGGCAACCAACCAGCAGATATCATAGTTTAAAGGGAGATTGCTTTCAGATGAATCACAGATTAATGAAACTACATCCGTTGTCACAGCAACAGGGACAGCGGTGTCCAGTGTTATCCTTTCACCGGGGCCATTCTCCTCTTCTTCTTTTCTTCACCGAGCTGCTGTTGTCCTCTGTGTGTTCTCAGTCTGAGGTCAGCCAGCAGTGAATGGATGTCTAATTTGCATTCAAAAGTGCTTTTATATTTGCTTTCTCTGTCTAAAACACCCGATGAGGTTAATCCCCGTGCTGTAACTCTATAGGGTACAGTAGCTTCATGGTGCCACGGGGAGGAATGCTGGACACAACCCACGCTGATAGCATCACGACTCCTTTTGTTGGGTGAATGCAATGCATCATGTTTCCTGAGGCATCCCTTCTGATCCAGACCTGGTGAAATATTCTTGTCAGTGTGTGAGCGCATGTGAGGGTGAAAGAAAGAAAGAAAGAGTCTATAACTTCAAGAAAATTAAGTTTGCACTGAGAGGGTCTGCCAATACATTGTATTCCACTAATGGGTGCAAGTGGAATTACATTTATTGGGAGTTAAATATATCAAATACATCTCCCTGACAGTATTCGAGGGGATTTCTTTTTTTAAAGATTAGATTAATAATAAAAGATGAATTAGCATGTTGCACTCTTGATACTTTATTTCCTCCTGGCATGAGGGACAATGTAGTTTGTAAAGATAGGCCTAAACATTAACCTTATGCTACAAAGTCTTTAGTCTTTGTCAGGATGCAACAAGTCCTCAGAAGCGAGAATTTGAATGAAATCGTCAATTGAAACTTGTTAAAAATACTTTTCTTGGCCGCTGGAAGCTTTGTTTTTGTTCAAATGATGATCTCCTATAAACTACATTTACACTCAAAGAACAATGAAGTTCGTTATTCACCATAAAGCTCACACCTCCTCCCTATTTTGGCCACAGTCCTCTGTTCTGTCAGATTGATGAATAGAAAAAAAGTCACAGTTGTTCCAGGGTTTAGCCAAGTTCTTGCTATCCCTTTGAAAACTGATGCACGGAGCATGGAGGTCATCCAGCTGCAGTCCATCATCCAACACCGGCATAACGGCAGGCAGGATGCCTGGTTTACAATGAACCGCAGAGCAAATCCTTATTATACGTCCGATATTTGCATGACAACTTCTCCAAAAGGCACCAGCACCTCAAACAAGGACAAGATGTTAAGTTCACTGCAGGGCAGAGACAAGTTTCTTTGAAGGCCTAACCTAATTTCCCTCAAATCTTTCCAATTCCTTCTTTCTTTTTATTCATTTTTATTACATTTTCACCAATTTTGACTGAAGTCTAAACTTAAATTTCAGAGAAATAGAGAGAGGGACAGTTTTGAACCAGTCAATTAAGTAACAAGTTTAGTCATTTCTCTTTTTTACAGTAACACAGTACCAAAACGTATACGCTGGTCATTCCTTAACCACTTGTACATCCTTAATGTGCAATTACATTATTAGTACATATAATTAATGTATCATTTAATAAACAAAACCACCTAAATATAAATGACTCAGGTATGTCAGAATGGAAATATTTGAGGCATTAGCATGCATGCATGTATAGCCTACACTGACACTGCTTACCTCACTGAGGAGCCCTAAAGACATGTAACCCACCCCTGTCCCGTTCAGACAAAGACAGGATGAGATATGTTGGGTGATTAAAACTGATAGCCGATGTGCTCCCTGATTGTAGCTAATGAAGAATAAAGTGCAATTGTAGAGTGAAAATGCTGATGGCACCTTCCAGGATGGAAGCCTCCAGCTGTGAGTCTTATCTTTTTGCTCTTTCATCACCAGCTTTTACAACCCTCCACACATTAACCCTGATATCTAATTTCACCTTCCAGATGTTGGAAAACTTAACACATGTCTAGTCTAAATTGTATTTGTTTTTTGTAATAGTTTTTATCCATTTTTTTTAACATTTAATTGCTCACTGATTCAGGCACCCAATTCTTTTCTGGACTTCTCGACACCAACTTGAGAAAGAAATAGAATTAACACTTAATATCCGAGCCAGCTGCTCAAAGGATTTTACTGGAAGTGCATTTTTTCCAGCTCGTATCCAAATCTTTCACCATGCTGACAGAGGTGGAGGGTAAACAGTCAGAAGGGGAAAGTCCCTCCCTGCCGCCGGCCTCTGTATTGGCTGGACCAGCATCAGATTCAGGCAAGCTGTCGGCCAATCAATGGAGGCGCAGACGCAGTCAGCAGAGCAAACCGGTTAACGGAGGGGGACAGAGAGACACCGAGCGTGAGTCTGCAGTCAGAATCTGCTTCTAATCTGCAAAAAAAAAACATGGATATGGAGAAGAAAAGCACAGACTTCTCAGGAAAATGGAAAATGAAGTCTTCGGAAAATTTCGAGGATCTTTTGAAAGCTCTGGGTGAGTCATGCATTTGAGGCATTTTATGAATAGACTGATTATATATTTGATTTGCTTAAAAATGCCCGATAAAGTTGTTAATCTCTCTTTAAAAAAATGTCCAACACAAGAAAGGATTGCATCTTGTCTCCCCCCGTCCACCACCACCACCTTAATTAAAATGCTTTACATGCAAAAAGTCAAGCTTTGATGCCGGTTTAGAGTCAAGCTGCTTGCTGTTATCTGGTTTATCATCAACCATTCTGCTCCATTGTGAAAATGCAAAAAACAGGATTAGAAAAGGAAAGACAGGCATCTTCTGCACAAAGACCTGTCAATCAGGTTGACAGTGGCATTATCTACTGGAAATCCACTTGGCTGAGAGGTCAACTGGAGAACCAAAGTGGTCTGAAGTGGCTCTCTGTGGTTCCATTGGTTTGCTCCTGCCCTGCTAACCAGTGTTCATGGGAATATCGGTCTTGCTTATGGACTCTAGTTATAAGAGACAACAGGACAAAGAGAGGTCAGGCGAGGGCCAGCCAGTGGCATCCATTAAAAATCTGAAGACAAATAGGCTGTGGAGGAATGTAAGATTAGACTCATCTGAAGCAGGGTCCTCCTCATGCGGTTGTAATTAGAGCCAGTGTAAACGGAACTAAGCCTTGACATGGGCCCCAGCAGCCAGCCGGATCTGAGACTGACTTTCCTTCAGTGCCCTGGGCCTCCCTGACCCAATCTACGGCTGTGTGTGTGTGTGTGTGTGTGTGTGTGTGTGTGTGTGTGTGTGTGT